GCAACTAAATTAATTTAAAGCCTTCCTCAAATCTCATACGCGATTAAAGACGTAAATTCCTTAACTTTTAGTCCTTCTGTTGCCCATAAAAACTACGTCAAAAATGAAATCATTCTTAAACAAACAGACACGTATAATTAGGCACACGTTAATATGCAAGTCATAAATATTAACCAAATTGCTACTTCCTTAATTTTTTCATGCCCAGAAGAATTAAATAAATGCAAAATAATGCCGGTAAATAATACAGCCGGGACCGAATGAATAGAATTATTGATTGATAATAAATGCGATGAAAAATTAAGGCTATTTATTGGTAGCACTAACAAATTGGATACATTTATATGAGATCATTTGAACACTGAATATTTATTTGACTGGTGTTTTTATTTAGAGGTCAATACTTTAGAAACTTGAACACCTACATTTATTTATACGGATTTTCCTGGTGATACAGTCAGCTGTTTACAGGTCTTAATGTCGGAACTGAATTCTTTAGCAGTTACTCATAAGACAAATAATTACTTTGGTTCACTATTGGTCTCCTAGGGCGAAACAGCGAATATCCTAATTTACTGTCATTACGAATGGAGCACAACAACCATAAAGTCAATAATTACTATCTTAAAACGCTGGCGTTGACGCAACTCTTGTACGAGCGATCCGCTATGGAAATAATTTCTAGCTTACTCATACTTTCTATAACAAATTATATTAATACTTCATTTACGAAATTGAACTTATTATTGTTAACGTGTTTTTGTAGTATTTGTTGTTGTTCCCGCGAAATTAGAAACCGTAATTCTTGGCAAAAAAACTTAATTATAGTACTTACATAAAATTATGGCAAAATGTTATACGTACGGTTTTTTTCGCGTAAGGAGGCCTACAAAATACACCGAAATATGAGAATAACCGCAACTTTTTACTTTTTCTTAATTAATTTTAAAGGAACTAAATTTAAAACTTCATGGTCAAATGGAAATTAATTTTAGAAGCAGGCGCTAAAAAATTAATTATATACTTAATTATAAAAACCTTACGCAGGTGTTACACATCCTTTCTAAACGTATGTCCCAAATGAGGTCCCCGTGGCAGATCAACAATACATCTAAAAGACAAATTCTGGCGTGTGTAGTGTATGGTGAAATATATACCAATTCCCAAGAAGAATATATACTCTATTTCCTCGTTGCTCAAATTTCAAGCAATTTTTAATATTTTAATGTACAAAATGTTGATAATTTTATTAATTCCTGCAATATGGCGTTGAAAGAAAGTCTGAAGAATTCAGCTGCTCGTACCGTCATCAACATAAGAAAAAAATATGTAAAGTAATGAAAATGCCTCGTTTTCGAGACACTAGATAAATTTCTGTCACATTGAAATGAAAATTTTTATATAAACAATAAATACACAAAAGAAGAAAAAGCTGTAACATTAAGTCAATTTCAAATTGAAAGTTTTGATAAAGAAAAGTGATGATTGTGCCTCAATGTGAAATATTCCTGATTGAATAAAACTAAATCTATAAAAGCAAACCCTTGTCTGACTTTTATGAAACAAGGGGTTTTTATTCAAAGTTTTCTTTGTAGTGCAGCAAAAATACCCGATTAAGTAATTAGAGAATATGAAACACCACAGTAAGTAATTACAGAGTATAATAATAACAAAGCTTTTTAAAAATATCACATACACGCAAAGATTTTTATAGATGTGAGATATACAGGGTGTTACGATATTCGCAGACACGGACTGTGGGATCATGTTAAGCTGGTCACAAAAAATGTCTCTATCATTTTTCAATCAGACCGATATTTTTCGGGATACGGCAGTTTTAAATATCCGGAAATAATAAAAATTTTCAATTTTTTATCATTTGATAAACAGTTATGACAAACGAATTGTTCAAAATTTCCACCTTTTGCTGCTAAACATGCTTCAGCACATTGTGATTACCAAAATAATATTTTCCCTGGACGTTGTCTTGGCAGAGACGATCCATTTGCTTGGACACCTCATTCTGCAGACCTAACGCCATGTGATTTTTTTCTTTTGGGGCTTCCTAAAAACGTTGGTGTACAAAACACCAGTGGTAAATTTGAATCAATTGCAGATCTGCCTGTTTCAATCAATACAGCAAATAATATCAGAGATGATACGTAACTCCATTAGAGCAGTAGCACAACGTGCTGAGGTATGTTTAACAGCAGACGGTAGGAATTTTGAGTAATTGTTGTAACTCGGTTGTCGTAATTGTTTATCTATTGATTGAAAATTAAAATTTGTAAATATAAATATTTTTATTATTATTGGATATTTGATACTGCTCTATATCTCGAAAAATACTGGTCTGATTGAAAAATCATAAAGACACTTTTTTTAACACCTTATCTAGCTTAATATGATCCCATAGTCCGTGTCCGCGAATTCGTTTTACAAAAATTGTGTGGTAAATTTATTTTAACCAAAAAAAATAAATAAATAAATAAAATTCCACGTTTCTAGATTAAAATTGAAGAAATATTCTTTTCTTTGAAATATAGACATGAATTAAATCGACAGATCAGATCGTACATCCAAAATATTCAGCGTCATTGTCTAAATGTATTTTCTTAATTTTTTAATTTACATTGCGGCAAAATACAAACAAAAAGAAAACATGGAGGTTCTTATATGGCATCACCTAATATACACGGTGATACACAACTTATCCAAAAGAAAATTGGGATCAATGTCGCAAAAAAATTTTTGTAAAATCATTACAGTTTCCGAGAAAAAAAATATTAAATTTGTAATATTTTCAACCTTTACATTGCTGGGCTACTGTAGTCTCTAGCGTCATTCACCCACGTGCCCCAGGCGATTCCGAATACTGAAATACGATTTTAGTATTATCGTTGTTGTGATAATGTTTACATTAGTTTTTGACGAAGTGACACGAAAGGCTTATGTGTATAGCAACTCGGAGTTGATGGATGTGGTTTTAATTTATGGTGAAGCAAGACAACATTTGTGTTATGGTGAAGCAAGACGACATTTGTGTTAATTCATAGAAACGAGGCAAGAAGAAATTTTGAACAGTTATTATTTTAATTAAAATTGCAGCAGAAGCACTTAAGATATAAAATAGGTGTTATAAAAACAAGCAGTGTTTTTTTTTATAAAATTACATAAGTACTGTACTGGAATTGGTACTAGTGCAACAATAGCGATGTTAGTAACTGGTACCAACTTTCCATCTCATGAAACATCAAAAATCATCCAAGATATTTGCGTGTACCTCGAAAATGAAGCATTTCTGAATCTATGTTCATGAGAATTTCAACCCTGCATAGATGAGAGAGACAAATACTCTGCGGACTAAAGCCACGTCTAGTTACACCAACAAACAGCTAAAATCATTCGTCAGCAGAACGCAATGGACATAAGAATATCAAAATGGATTTATTAAAAGTAATAATGAAAATTGAAATCCCATCTAATGCTATAAATATCATTTACTTTACACTTTGCTATTTTAATTCACGCAGTGTTGTTAGTCCTGCGCGTAGTTTTACTTTCGTACTATAAAACATGGTCTATTATTATTTTTATTACACTTTTAGTTTAATCGAGATTGTGGCAACTTTTAATATGCCCAGATAATGGAGAACACGAAATATTTAACTCCGTTACATCATATTTTGTTTCATTTGAAATACCTTTATGTTAATATTAAAAACACGAAATGTGTTGTAATTTTATTTATTATAAATCCGTACTTAACCGCTGCAATAATCGAAATAAAAAATTTGGATCGAAGGGGTGGCGGCCCATTATTTTACGATTACGAGAACAAATAATTATGGAACAATGACGTGTAATAATAATTCAATTATTCGTCGAGAAGTTTCTACGCAACGAAATCGTCGGCACTAATTGCTTTTTTGTGATAATCAAACAAACATTAATTGTTAATAGCCAAAAATGAACAAATTCCGTGTCCGATCAGATATGGTCGACCAATCTAAATTATCCGGCGAACAATTACTGACAAGACAAAGCCAATTTGATTTCATTTGCACTCTCACAAAAATAAATGACAATCTGGGAAAACAATCTAGATTTTATCGAGTTGTGTGTATGTAGATTGTTGCTTGGCGCGAACAGGCATTAGTACGAATCACGAACCGCGCTTATCTGATCGTTCGGATAGTTCTTAAAGGGGGAATCTTTTTAAATTTAAGTATATTCCGAGTTCGGAACGTTTTAAGGAGTTTATATTTCGCATGACTAGCTGAAAACTGTTTCTCCATATAAAGATATTACGATCCAAGAAAATGGAAACAATTTAAACTTATACTGCCAACACGCTTCCTTTTGAAAACATCTAAGGAAGGGTGAAAGCAAAACGAATATCTGCGCGTTTAGAATGTTATACAGAGTGTCCCGGAAATGGTCGGAATCCTTGTACAATTTTGAGGAAAGGTTCAATTCATAGGAAAATGTATCCTCAAAGGCCTACTTTTCGATTATTGAGTGACCCCATCCTATTCTATGGTTGTCGTACGTTGTCTTTGCCTATTCCCATAGTCTCCATTAGGATCTCCTGGCGTGGTGTATGGCGTGTGGTGCTAGACAAGTATCTGTTTATCCGGTTATTTTGGTGACAATTTTGTTTAAATTTAGTTGTTTGATTACAATAATTAAAAACAATAATATATATTGAGTCTCGATAAATATCTATTGCAATAGTTTCACTCATAAAATTTCACTTAATCGAGTGTGGACAGAAATTGATATTTGATTATTGAGTAAAATTGAGTAAAATCGGGTCAATCAACCCATATCCTGAAAGCTAAGCCGTTTAAAACATAAGTTTGTGGGAACTTTTCCCCCCAGAATTAAACTAGGATTTCACCATTTCCGTTTTTCCAGACATTAGTGGGACACCCTCTGGGACAAATTTAATGGATTTTTGTTAGAGGCGTTAATTCTTAAGTCTCGGTAATACTCACCCTGGCCACTTTGCTCTTTGCTCTTAACTTGTCCAGCTTCTGAGAAAAAAAATAACACCAAATTAAAAATAAAATCTTTACAGGATTAGAAATTGTATTGAAAAAATATGGCCGTTTCGCCTTTACCGATTCCAAATAACTATCTTCTTTAAACATTAAAAATAATTTTATGATGAAAATTAGCTGCAAGCTATAACTTTAAGTGAAAAATCAGTGATTTTGGGGTAACAGTTCTTGGTTAAAGTTTCAAAATGTAAATAAAAACAAAAAAGTTTATTGTTAAATTAAAAGTTACTGAATTTTATCTCTACTTTGATTTGACAAAAACAAGAAGATAACTTTAAGTAAGAAAGGTAAATCGTAGCTTCTTATGCAATTTTTAAGAGTAATTTTTAACATTTCAGTTTTCTCGGTGTATTTAGAAATGGTTTTTTACACTGTGAAATTTCTCACTAGAAATAAATTCTAATGCACCGAAACGTTCGTTTATCAATACAACTAATTTTGCAGGTAATTGGCAAAATTGTTTTTATGCATTGCCGAACTAGAATGCCAGCGGATTAAGTGAATGGCCGCTGCTGAAAAACGTATAAAAATTTTTTCTACGACACGAACTTTGCTGGTGGAAGTAACTGTCAATATAATAAAACGTTTATTTATCTTTATAACTAGGTTCGTAATTGACTAATTATTATTTTTGCGCACTGGAAAACCAGGGTTCAACTCGAGTGAGTGTATAGCTGTTTAAAAAATTATAGAGTACAAATCGTTTACTACGTTGTGCTGTTGTAAATAAATAGTTGAAATGTTGCATTGTTTTTTATTTGTATGTTTAAAGCGCTGATAAATAAACAATGTAGAGTTATAGTAGATTCTTTAATGCTTGTTTACTAAACACATCAAGTAAATATGGAAACATGAAAGCGGATTGTTTTGAAGACATGAAAGTGATGAGTGATCCAGATACTTACGAAGACACAGATGAGAACGAGAAAAGAGATACGAACCAAGACAGTAACAAGAATTGAAAGAAGAAAACACCGATTATTTAATTGCTAAGAAAAAATATGGACACAGTAACACGACGAGATATTATGCACAAACTAAAAAATAGGTAGGTACATTAAATGGTATTACACAGAGATAACTTGTCTTCAGAGCTGCACTTCCAGAACACTCTGTATAGTTCTTGAGACACCTCCGGTCTTCGATATCTACATCCATTAAGTTTCACTGTTATTTTCGTACCAGACCCACGGTCCTGATTCGAGTTTGGGCAGAGGTCAGGAGATTTAGCGGGCGTAGATGGGTGATCTGTCTTCGTAGTCCAAATAAAACCGTTAGTGATCGACTCGAAGCGGTGCTATTTGGTTCAAGTAATTTATTCAAATCAGGACGGTATTCGGTTACCTGTCTTCTAGGTGGAGATGCCCAGATAGCTCGGAAAACTTTCTGAATAACTGGATTAAATTTTCAATTTAAAAGTTAATGTTGCTGTGAATTTAAAAAAATATTTTCATTTACTAAATTTAAAGGATTGCATCAAGAAATTTTGCATGTTGTCCAATCAACTGCTGGGGACATGACATGAATCTTATATAAATTGTAGAGGAATCTGAATTAATGTTGAAAAAATAATTTAGAGAAAATCTGGATCAAACTTTTCTTCTATATACAATGTCTTTCACTCGAAAAAGTTGTGAAATTGTACCGCAATTTAATAGATACTACTTATACAAAACGTGATAACATATGTTATCCTGTGGCAAAAGTAAGAGCTGAAGAAATCTAATGATAAGGAGAGGTATTAATCAAAAGTTTTCACTTAAGTGTTAAATATGCCTAAATAGGTAGGTATATTCATCGCCTTCACAGCTGTATATTATGGATTATAATGTGAAAAATGTTAAAGGATATTCTCGGCAACAATAACTATTTACATCAAGTAAAACACAGTAATAAATAGATAATCTAAATAACTGCAACTGTTCTTATGTGATAATATTATTAGCTAAAATAATTTGCCATATAAATTTCCTAAAGAAACTAAAATAATATACCTACATATTTTCATATAACATACAAAAAAAGAAACCAGCTACAGTCCACTATTATAGTTTGTCCAAAAGATATTTAGATATCCAATTTTATAAGGAAACCTTAAACTACGTTAAAAACCAGGGATTAACGCTTCGTTCAGTTTATCTTTTCGTTATGTTAAAACGTTTTTCTAAGGATATTTTTTCAGTTGTGAAGAAAATTAAAAAATTAATGAAATATACCCATACGCCAAAAAAGTCAGTTATGAAAATAGTTTTGCCTGATCAAAAATCCCACACTTAAGAAAGTGGTATATAAATTACAAAAAACGCATCACCATACAGGGTGTTTAAAAAATAAGTGCGTTCTTTGAAAAAGGTGATACAGGGCACGAAAATGAGCAACTTTTATTAAGCAACTAAAAGCTTGTGATTTCGAGAAAATTAATCAAGAAAATTAACTAGAATGTAAACCGACCCTGTGCATCTTGTGCACGTGTGTTGAGTGTTACAGAATTACGCAGCAGCCGTATAAAACTTTGCCAGTGGTTTCGACATCAAATATCGGATAAATGTTATTTTACTAGAAACTCCATATTTAATTTTCACAACATTCGCTATTGGTGTGATGCAAATCCTCAAGATGTACAGAGATCTCGGTTCTAGCAACGGTTCAGTGAATGTGTGGTGTGATGTTTTTGTTGAATTTTGACCGTCGTTTGAAAACATATTTATTAGCACATGGAAACAACTTCGAACAATTTTTGTAGAGCATATATTATACCACACCCTCTTATTTGATTAATTATAAATAATCGGGATATAGAATTTTCTGGAATTTTCATTGGTATACAATTACAAGGCGAGTAAGCAAGATTTGAAATTGTCGTCAACTAAGGCAGTGAACAAGAATGATGCATAACCTACTTTGATAGTTATTGGCTGAAATAAAAAAGTTGCTGGAAGCTTGGATATAGTTCATTCGGTATATCCAGCTGCATTAGTATATCTCAGATGATTTAGCTAGACTGTAGTTTTAGACTTGCTATTAAAAACAACATAACTGACTTGTCCAGTAACAAAAAAATTCAAAACAATCGACCTCGCACAACAGTTCAAATTCTTGCTGGACAGATTTGCTTGAACAACTTTTTGTATACTTGCCGCATAATCTTGATTTACCACCGAGTGTTAATTGGGATTGAATAGTTCAGAAATGAAATCGAACTGAAGAAAGGTCTTATTAATTTAATAAAATATTGGCAGCAGAGTTTTGCCATAAGACGTTAACGACATTAAACATGAAAAGAAAATGGCTTTTTCAAGGACAAGTAATGTGTTCTTTACAGATATTTTAAAAAGAATCTACCAAAAAGAAACCCGCTACATATTTCCAAAGTTAACAGTTACATTTTACGTTTCAGGTGAACTATAAACTTTTTCCAAGTGGACTCTTCGAAATTACAGACCTCTTAAAAGGGCAACTAACAAACAAACATCTATCAAGTCGAGGCACAGGCAATGCCATCGACATAGGCAGTTTGCGGTGTGCACGGCAGCGAACAGTGAAGCAGTTGATTGGAACCGAGCTGCAGTTTGCGCGGAGCAGCGTGGAGTCGTAATTTTAATGCGAGCGATCGTAAAATGGTGCACAGACGATTTACAGTAATTAACGATTGCTTGTTTACACTACTGTGCGCCGACGACGCGATTTACACGCACGAATCACATTATTTCGGCCTTGTGAGGAGCTCTCGCCGACACCGGGTTCGCCGGAGAAAATGTCGCAAGTGGCACTGAAAAAAAGCTGTAAAGGGTGATGAATTCGGAGCGAAAAAGGAGTCGGACATAACGACTGCAAATAGCCGGCGATTTTTGCGGGGATTTTTGTTAAGTGTAAGGTCTGATGTGAGCAAAAGCAGATAAAAAAAATATAAAAACAAGTTTTTATTAAAATGCACTAACAGAAAAAAATAAACCAAGAAGTTCATAAAATCCATAATGTTGTGTAAACCCCAAACCTACAAAAGGGATGAATATGACTGCTCTATTGAAGTGTCATCAGCAAAAGTATGATAAATAGACACGCACTATCTATAATCAGTATATTCATGTTCTTATGCGCTTTAAATGCTTGGCTTTAAAACCACCTCCAAATTATCCATTAAAAAAAGAGAGATACAAATAATAAATTATGAATTTGCATATAATATTAACAAATTCTAATTAAAACTAACTAGAAAGGCAGGCAAACTCCGCTGACGTAGATATAACATTTTTTTGAACACCCTGTAGTTTAGTTCATAAACGCTCTGTATATGAAAGTCATCAACATCGGAACTTCATAATTATCAATATTATCGTCGTCATCAAGTCAACATGAAGTCATCGTCATCGTTTCCACCTTCATCTTAATCTCCATCTTCATCTCTATCTCTATCTTCATATTAATCGTCATCGTTATCGTCATTTTTATCGTCGTTCTAATCTGTCCGTAATTCAGACTTTGGTCAATTATGTAGAACATCCAGTACATGGATTTTCAAAAAAAAGCGTCTGGTTAGTAACTATATAACTTTTCATATAGAGATTTCAATAAATTTCTGAAATATACAGAAGCCTCTATACCGATATTTCTGACCTGGGTCAGTAACTATATAAATTTTCATCGAGAGATTTCAATAAATAATGTAGGAAAGTAGGTGGTGAAATGAGAAAGACAAAGTGAAAAGAAAAAAAATTGCCCGTAATTCAGACCTGAGTCAATTATGTAGAACTTCAGTATATGGATTTTGAAAAAAAGCGTCTAGTTAGTAACTATATAACTTTTCATGAAAAGATTTCAGTAAAAAATTGAGAAAAGTGAAAAGATAAGTAAAATCAAAGTTCACCAGTGTCATTTTTATGAAACATTCGGTACATACAGTGTTGCCGCCCAATAAAAACAAAATGTATCAGACACATATATAAACTGTGTTAAATTACCCAAAAAATGTACTT